GTTAATGGCATTATTAGGATTAAGGTAAATTAATTAAATTGCGTTTATCTCATCGAGGAGACCAAGAAACAACTTTGAATCGAAATTTAACGGTCTACTCAATTTTGCGAACGAGAGAAAAAAGGTCAGTGGTGCACGTATTTTTTTAGAAAAATATTCCAGTGACAACACATATGCACGTCCCTGGTGAATATGTCGGCACTTTTTTAGCATTAAAATATGTCGCACTTATAGCAATGTTTATCCTCAAAATTTCATTCAAATCGCTAAAAATACTTGGAAGAAAATTATAATAAATCTAAAAAAGATTATGATTTTAATCCCGTGTAGCTACGAAATTAAGCAGAATCGGACCTATGTTAATATGAAAAATAAATCTTATTTTTACGAGATGAATTTAACCACGAGCGATGGCACATGCTTTCTGAAACACTCTATATAAAAATATATATTTTAAATATTGATAAGTTGAACTCTAGCAACTTGCAAATGATCGTTAAGTCGACAGGCTGGTTATGGACAAGCGGTGGTCCGAACTGTATTCCGAAAACTTCGGCAGTATATTCTGCAGATAAAAGTGAGTAAAAAAGTTCGTATAAATGTATCTATGTCCTAAAATGCTTAGTTTCGGAGATACAGGGTGTAGAATTCTCATTTTTACTTTGTTTTTTTTCCAAATAATTTTTGCAGCAACGTCAATATTTGGATGAAAATTGGTGTACTAGTAGAGGGCGCCACCTACATATTTTTTAACTGGTTTGAAGAGTAATAACTTCTCGTCCGTACCTGTATAAAACTACTGTGTAAAAAAATATACATTTGCGACGTTTTTTACGTAAAAAATGTCTATTGCTAAAAATCGCTATGAGTATTGGTTTTCAAGATATTTGTAATCGAAATTATCAATACCAGTCATCATTGCCATAAATAATTAACATTGACTAAATAGTTATTAGACTGACATCATAAATTTGAAAGTTTTTGTGCCAAAAGTTCAACAGAAACTGTTTTATAATCATTTTTTGCATAAAAATTTATGATTAATTTAAAAAAATAAAAATTTCCCAAATTTATTATTTCAGTGAAATAACTATCTACTCAACGTGTTTATTTTTTTTATTTCCATTCCAAATATCTTGAGAACAGTTGCTCGTAGCGATTTTTACAAAGAAATATTTTTTACGTAAAAATTCACCGAGATGTATATTTTTTTCCTCGGTAGTTTTATACAGGTACGGACAAAAAGTTATTACGCTTCAAAACAGCTACAACACATGTAGGTGGCGCCCTCTACCAGTAGGAGTCATATTGATATCAATATCAAATTTCTCATGTCAAAAAACTCCTAGACACCAATTTTCATCTAAATATTGACGTTACTTCAGAAATTATTTGGAAAAAATCGAAATAAAATGAAACTTCTACACCCTGCATCTCTGAAACTAAGCATTTTAGGATATACATTTATACGAACTGTTTTACTTATTTTTAACCGCAGAATATGCTGCCAAAGTTTCCCGAATACAGTTCGGACCACTCTGTATTTATAAAGAAAAAATCGTACGAATTCTGATTCAAGTAATTAGCGCGATGCCGATGTATAATAGAAAAAAAATATTAATTTTCTCTTGTTATCTGTAAAATAACTTTTGGTAGCGTAACGCTAAATTATTTAAATGTTATTCTATTCTCTTATTCACTTAACTTTGTTTATTTTTCTATTTTGTATTTTCCTACTGTCAGAGCTAATTTTAAAGGTGACATTCATTTCCATCACACCGAACCAACTGTTTATAATTTTTAAATCGGCGATAATAACCAGACCATCTTGTCAGGAATCTTTTCGTTTAATTATGTCTAATAAAATAAATCGTTTCCATCGAAAATTTCATCCCAGACGCAATAATTGCCACGTCACATCTGCTAAAACAGATTTTTACCATGACTACGTTAAAAAAAGTACTAGTGACGTTAATTATAAAAGTTCCTATATAAAAAAACCTATTAAAGTATATATAATAAAGCATTAGTGGCACAAAGAGTAAGAGGCTGTCTTTTTTTAATAAACGTTATGACGTGATCCCTCTCAAGGAAGCAGTCGCATTATATTTTATAAACGATAAAGGTTCGTTGAATTCTTCTGATACCCGTCCAAATACTCGCTGCAGACGGGTTCAAGAAATCCAGTTTTATATAGAGAAGTAACAAAACAAAAAAGATATCAAAGTGCCATTACGGATCATTACGGATATAGTTCTCCACCTTCCTAGATTTTTACGGATTTCAAATTTTAATATTAGTCAGATTGTCAAGGTGAACCAAAATACCATGCCGTAAAGATAGAGAGGCAGCACGGAAAAACCGTGACATTGAACGAAGACAGAGGACTTCAAAATGTTCGTACAGTATGTGCGTGCATAATCAAGCGGTGCGTGAAACACATTTTCGTTTAAGCCGGCCAATAAGCGGCGGGTTCCGTTTAAAGAATATCGGTCTTTTTCGACAAAAATATCGAATTCTGACAGTGAAATGTTAGTGTTAGTATTTTAGGAATATCAAAACATATATGTGGTGTGAAAATGGAACGATCTAAAGGTAGCAACATTATTTTTTTATCTATTTATAGGTTAAGATGTGGGGAATTTTCGAAAAATTGTATTTTTAGTGCGTTGATTTGTTTAATGCCGATCAAAGTAATAATTTAGTGGCTTGTTATGTTTGTGAGTCTAGTTCAAAGTTAATTATGAATGGAGTAAAATAAGTTGATGATCATTATTTACATAGAAAAATATAATTTCTTATAACCTAATAACTACAAAAGTGTATAAATAAACTGCTTATACAGTATGTCTCAGGATTTTCTTTACCGGAAGAAAAACTATTTTATATTGAGTAAAATGCATTCTTCGTAAAAGTTTTGGGTGTCCTAAAATTATTCTACTTTTCCAAATTTTCGTACCGTTTCAGGGATAAATGAAGAAAATACGAAAATCTAGTTCAAAATCAAAAAATAATATCATTCGAAAAATATAGTTTTCGTTCTTTGATAGATGGTTATTATTAATTTTGACTAACATTATATTTTTGGCTGTTTTAATATGTTAAAGAAGCATAACCTTTATTTAGTTCAATACCACGGAAAATATTATTAAAAATAAATATAGATAAATTATGTGCTTCTTTAACATTTAACTATATTTTTATATAATACATATAAAAACATTTAAAAATTTCCAATTTTTCAAAAGAAAAAATTCTCAAATAGACCTCATAATCGTTTTTCTGGGGTCGAAATATATAGTACCCCTAAAATATTTGCACGTATTTAAGACTTTTTTTTGTATATAGAGTTATTATTTACATCAATAAAACTCACCTCCTTAACAGTGACTAGGGGCCATTACTACGCTTTCCTGTTCAAAATCTCGTTCAAATAATATTCTAATAAGGTTGTGATGAGTTTTTACAACGGCTATTAAGCTATCTTGTACACTTCGCGCTAAAAGAGGTTCCAAAAAGAACAATATCTGACTGCTAGGTCGTCTGTTAAAATTTTTTAAGTATCACAACACAATTCATTTAAACCAAAACTCGTAATGCAAAACTAGAGAGTCAAAACGAATGACAATGTCAGAAAATAAATAAATAAATGTGGTAACTTGACATTTTTTACAACAGATCTATCACCTGAATCCCTAGAGGGAAATTTAATATCCAGTAGTCAGCCCGGCGCCGAATATGTCCGTGGTTGGCAACAATAAATTTACTCGATTACGTAACTAAAAGTTTAATTGGTATTGCTTATACGTGCTTAATAACAAATTATTTCATGTTTTTTTTATTCTTAAACTTTATAATATTTTGATATGTTTTATGCAAAACATTCTATTTATTATGAAATATGGTTAGACACATTAAATATGCAAAATATGCAATTTGCATATTTGGGATTCCCTATAGTGATTTACATCGTCTGCCTTAGTAGAAAGAAGTTATTATTTAAAAAAAAAATTCACGAAAAAAACTCTCAATCGTGTTTCTGGGGTCGAAATATACTACCCTTAAAAATATTTGCACTTATTTAAGACTCCCCTGTATAATTACTTTATTTAAAATATATCGTAATTTGCATCAAATTAATGAAATATTTACACCGCTTAAATTGAGTTAAAAGAAAATGGAACTATGATAATATAATCTGACGTAAATTTAGAATGCTTAGTTATAAGGGAAAAAGATATGACGTGAATGAACGCCATATGTTTGGTATTTGCCTATCCAAAAATTATTTATTTTACTTAGAAATTTGCGTATATAATTTAAGTTCTAAAATTAAAGTTTGAATACAGCGCAAATGTTTGGATAATTCAACATGTGCCTCGGTAAAACCGTTTCGAATGTGTATTTCTGACGAATTACTTAGAGATTGATATATTTTCTAACAAAAAATCAATTTAAGTTCGTTAGCTATTATTTACTTTTTATAAATAACTTTGTGCAGAAATGACAAATCGAAAATTTTTATTCAAAAAACAATGTTTACAGCACCTTTTTCAATAAAATATCTCATTCGCGAAATGAATTAGCGAATTTTTGGATTTTGTTTTAGATATTTTCAAAAATATTTAATCAATATTATTTATAGATATTGTAATGAAATATTTTCAGGATAACGACTTTTGAAAATAACTGCGATAGCATTAATAATTATATGTGTACTACTATACAAAAATTATCTATGATAAAATTGAAATTACTTATTTGAAATCGCATGCTTTCTTTTTTTTTCCATGTAAACAATGTATTTTTTTAATAGGTATACCTATAATATCTATTATTTGTACATTATGTGTACATTTCCCACCTTTAATATCTATTTTATATTAAGGTATCAATTAAAAAAAATATAATTATATCAGACACTCGCAGAATATGGCATATAGTAACGAAAACTAATTATAATATATTACACTATCTAACTTTGTTTATTTTTCTTTCAGATGCCGCAGACAGTGCCTTCGGCGGGTTTTACACCACCTTGCGACTACAGTAACTTCGCAGAAAACTTCGACTTATCTCTTTTACCTGGAGGAGATCAACCTATCCCAACCACACTCGGATTTTACCATACAGGTTCCGAAAAACAGACACAACCAAAAATATTCACAACATTTTATCCCAGCTCCCCAGAAAGCCAGTCCTTGACCTCCGACAATGAATTCTCCCCCGACTTTCAACCGGACTTTCAAAAGCTCTTAGGCGATAACAAGAAATATTTATCGGCACAATCGCCAATTCATTTGGAAGTGCCCCAGCCTAACTCGCTAGGACACCACTCCACTCCAGGATCTCTGTCTCCTTACTCCCCAAGTTCGCAAGGACTTTTATCCCCTAACGATCAGTATTCGACGTACAGAGATCAAACGTTTTATCCTAGTTCCCCTGAATATTCCTTGTATACCTCCAGTCCCTCTTCGATTTATTCCAAATCGCCTTGTGAAGAATATCTTCATAGCGGATACATAAAGAAAGAAGATACCTATTCGAATTCTACGTCTCCTTTGCCAAACTTTTCTCCGTTTTCTATCAAAGAAGAGAATTTCTTACCCAATCTCAGTCTATCATCGCCAGTTTCCCCTGCGGCATCCAATTATTCTTGCGGCTCCTCCCCAGAACAAATATCGCAGCAAAGCGGAATTTTCGATCCCCAAAAACAAATCAAGCAAGAGAGCACGGTGGATTTCAGCGAGATATTGGGCGAGTTTCCAAGCACGGATACTCTTCGTAGTCTGCTCCAACAGAAACCTCAAGATACCCTGTTGCAAACGGTTCCAGATACTCCAAAAGACCATCAGTTATTGCGTCAAGTGTTGAGAGACACAAGCTTCCAAAAGAAGTTTAACATTCGACCAATCGATTTTTCTTTTGTGAATGGCGACATCAAAATGGAGGACGGTTGTGATGGTGATCAGGCTGACCTGATGATGGGCTGTGAGGAGCAGATCTCCAGAGAGAGTATTGAACCTGTTCTCACCATGGCTATCGAACAGATGAGAAAAGATGTTGGAGAGACCTGTTCAGCTTTAGGAATTTCACCAGGTAAGATTTAACGTCAATTACTATTAATTTCTATTTGTGAACTACTTGATTGCTATTAGCTTTTTAAAAATTTAAAAGTCAAGTAGTATAGTTGTCTACGCCTCTGCCTGAACTCCGCCACTGGGTTGTGCGCCTCTACGCCTTCCCGACAAGAGACGAATAAAGACATTAGCAGAAGTCAGACGTGTTTTTAATTCTCTCCACTAAAAGTTCAAAAGTTAAACATAAAATTTGGTCCTTCGAACTGGATTTCTTTAAAAATCAGCAAATCAGAAGTTTCAACACAACGTATCAAGAAAAGTTTATTGAAAAACCAGGTGTAAAAGCCGAAAAACCGAGAAAATTAATATCAACCAGTAAGTCAGCGGAGTTGCATCGAAAAATCAGCGACGCAGCGAACGTGTATGCAGGTGGTCGACTGTTTTTTGACCGAGAAGCGGCCTTGAATCAGCCAGCCAGCCCTTTGTCGACGCCCGTCGGTGAGCGGTGAGTCAGATCCTTTTATTTTGTTTCCTTATCTTTTCCGCATTATTTTAAAGCCGTATCTTAGTTCGAATTCAGAATGTCTGATAACGAATTAAACGTTAATGTACAGGGTGATCTCGCGCAAGAGTTAAAAATCTTTAAAACAAAAAGAGCGACTATAAAAAGAAAACAAACAAGTTTTAAAAATTATATTGATAATTTTTTTACTACTGTAGTAGGGGGTCTAACGTTTTCAGAAATTGATAAAACCACAATTTTAGAGTTTGAGGCGCGATTTGAAAGGTATCAGGGTATTTTAAGTGAGTTCGACGGGGTGCAGGAAAAAATTGAATTGTGTAAAGATGATGATGAGTTTTATGAACAACAAACACAAGAAAGAGAACAATTTGAGCAAACGTATTTTCAGTTAATTAGCAAGGGCAAAAGTTTTTTAGACGATTATCACCAAAATATAAAACAAAATAATGACAATTATTCAGACACAAATTCTAATCATTCTAGAGTATCAAATCATGATTCGAGGCAGACGAAAAACGTGAAACTTCCTGAAATAAAACTTCCGAAGTTTTCTGGTCAGTACGAAAACTGGCTAGAATTCAGGGATACATTCGGCTCTTTGATCAATAGTAACAACAATCTATCAAAAATTCAGAAGTTTCACTACTTACGATCTGCTTTGGAATCAAGTGCCGCTCAGGTTATAACCTCAATTGAATTTTGTGCAGATAATTATACAGTCGCTTGGGACACTCTATTGGCAAGATTTAACAATGGTGGTGTCTTGGTATATAATCATGTAAAGTCCATTTTTGACATGCAACCATTAAATTTTGAGTCAGCGGTTGAGTTAAGAAGAATATTAGACTCTTTAGCCAAGCACTTAAGAGCTTTAAAAATTTTAAAACAGCCAACAGAATCGTGGGATACGTTATTAATCTATATTATTACTAACAAATTAGACAAGAAAACCTCCCGCGAATGGGAAGAGAGGCGAGTTAAGTTGTGTGCCAATCAAGGCCAGTCAAGTTCAGATAGCATTAATTTACCAACTTTGATAGATTTTAAAAATTTTCTGAAACAAAAGGCAGATTTATTAGAAACTCTAAATTTAATGTCAGATAAACCAGTAAAGAGCTCACGATCCACACACTTAGCGTACGAAACAGACCAACAAGTTTCTAATAATGAATCACAAGCAAAACCCGTCTCTCAGAAAAATATACAGTGTGCTTTTTGCAAAAGTTACTCTCATTTTATTCATAATTGTACAAAGTTTCTTGAACTGTGTGTTAACGATAGAATCGAAAAGGTCAGAAGTCTTAAACTATGCACAAATTGTTTGCGTGGTAATCATTTTAGCAAAAATTGTTTTGCTGGAAACTGTAGAAAATGTAGGGGTCGGCATAACACGTTGCTACATTTGGTAACGAAATCAGGTGAGAGAACAAGGGGGGACGAACAAAAAAGTGCTGGGGACAATAGAACCACAGATCAAACAAAAGTTTTTAATTGCGCTTCAAATAGGCAAAATTCATGCGAAAGTACGATTCTATTGTCTACGGCTCTTATTCAAGTGTTGTCACGGTCGGGGGAGTGGCAAGAATGTAGAGTTTTGTTAGATTCCGCAGCCCAATCTAACTTCGTAACAAAAGAATGTTGTGATAGATTGGGGTTGGAGACTTCAAGAGCAAATATTTCGGTAGTAGGAATTAACCAAGCAATCTCTGACATAAACCAAATGTGCCAAATCTCCTTGCGATCCATGTCCAATTCTTTCAAATCAGAAGTTTCATGTTTAGTAATACCAGTTATCAATAATTTTGTGCCTGAGCTATCATTTGATAGTTCCAATTTCAATATTCCAAAAAATCTTCGTTTGGCTGATCCTAGTTTTAACAAATCAAACAAAATCGATATTCTTCTTGGAGCTAGTATTTTCTATGATCTTTTGTGCATTGGTCAAGTAAGGTTAGGAAATGGTAAGCCTACCTTACAAAAATCCGTACTAGGCTGGCTAGTATCAGGTTCAGTATCGTCACCAACTAACTCAAAAACTATTTGTAAGCATGTCTCAAACTTAGAACTTCAGAATCAAATTAAGGCATTCTGGGAAGTCGAGGAAATCCAATCAAAGCAAAGTACTCTTTCTGAGCAAGAAAAACAATGCGAGGAGTTGTTTCAAAAAACTACTCGACGTGATCGCGATGGCAGATTTATCGTACAAATACCTTTTCAAAAGTCTCCTTCATTGTTGGGCGAATCACATGAGGTTGCTCAGAAGCGTTTGTGTTCGGTTCAGTTTAAGCTGTCCAAGGATTCTACAATGAAGCAACATTATATAGATTTCATGCAAGAATATCTGGAACTTGGTCACATGCAACTTTCAAAGTCTAATTCTGAACAAGGTTATTTTTTACCTCATCACGGGGTCTTTAAGGAACAAAATCAAACGACAAAATTACGAGTTGTTTTCGACGCCTCGGCGCGTACAGATTCAGGTCTGTCGCTAAATGAGTTACAATATGTGGGGCCGACAATACAGGATGACTTAGTGTCTATTTTGTTGCGATTCAGGCAATACCAGGTAGTCGTTTGTGCAGATATCATCAAAATGTATCGGCAGATACTAATTGATCCATCTCAGCGATGTTTCCAGAAGATTCTGTGGGGTATAAGTTCTAACGAACCAGTTCAAGAGTATGAGCTAAACACGGTTACCTATGGCATGGCCTCCTCTCCTTGGTTGAGTGTTAGATGTCTTAAGCAATTAGCATTAGAAAATTCAGATGTTTATCCCAGAAGTTCTGAGATAATATCAAAAGACTTTTATATGGACGATCTGTTGACTGGCGGTGACACGCCTGGTGAGGTGATCAAAATTTGTAGCGAAGTAACTGATATTCTTCAGTCAGGCTGCTTTCCTTTGCAAAAGTGGGCTTCTAATAACTCAGAAGTATTAAGGCATGTTAAAGCATCAAATCCGTCAGCCATTTTTAAACTTGGTGATGGCGAAAAAACAAAAACTTTAGGTATATTTTGGGCTTCATCTGAAGATCTCCTTAAGTATAACATCAGTAATCCTTCTTCCAAAGCCATAACTAGGCGAACTGTGTTATCTGACATTGCCCAGATCTTTGACCCCTTGGGTTTACTGGGTCCGTGTGTTGTGATTGGAAAAATCATAATGCAGAAGTTATGGATTCTTAAGGTATCGTGGGATGAAAGTCTACCCTCCGATTTAGACACAAAATGGAGATTGTTTCGTAGGCAGCTTCTAGAGTTAAACAAGGTCGAACTTCCTAGATGTGTCATATGTCATTCTAGCAAGGAAATTCAAATTCATGGTTTCTCCGACGCATCTACGGAAGCCTACGGGGCTTGCATATATATTCGTAGCTCAAACAGCATGGGCGATGTTTTCGTTAGACTTCTGTGTGCTAAAACTAGAGTAGCACCACTAAAATCCCTCACAATTCCTCGACTCGAGCTATGCGGAGCATTATTGCTCGCCCAACTGTTTGACAAGGTCAAATCTTCTTTAAATTTAAGTGTCACAAGGCAATATTTCTGGAGTGATTCCAGTATCTGTATAGCATGGATAAATAAAAACAGAGCCTCGTCTATTGCAAGTATTTGTACAAAACAGAGTTAGTCAAATTCAAAATATCACCAATCCAATAGACTGGAGGCATATATCAGGCAAGGATAATCCAGCAGATTTATTATCTCGTGGAGTAATACCTTCAGAACTTGAAACGATGAGTTTGTGGTGGTCAGGACCTCCCTGGTTGCAAAAGTCGCCAAGTGATTGGCCAGAATATTTGGTTGAATTTAAGGGTGAACTTCCTGAAAAAAGGAAAGAAGTTGTAACTTATTCCATGCAGCTCTCCGATCCATTTCCAATGACGAGATTTTCATCTTTTAAAAGATTACAAAGGGTAGTTGCATGGTGTCTCAGATTTATGTCAAATTGTAAAAAGTCAAAAACAACCAGAATCTTTGAGCCACTATCGGCAATTGAACTTGATCAGGCTACAAAATATTTGGTAATTGTTTCCCAACGAGAGAGTTTTGGTCAAGAACTTACTCTGTTAGCAAAAAATAAACCATTACAAAGAGGTACTCGAATTTTAAGTCTCAACCCTTTTATCGACAGGGATTGTGTACTTCGTGTGGGTGGACGCCTGCAAGAATCTTCTGCTACTTTTGACAAGAAGCATCCTGCAATCCTTTCAGGTAGTCACATTTTAACTAAGCTTCTTTTTACTTATGAGCATGCGCGTCTATACCACGCCGGACCTCAACATTTGTTATATTCAATAAGGGAGAAATTTTGGCCTTTGGGTGGTAGAAGTTTAGCACGAAAAACTGTCCACAGTTGTGTTCGATGCTTTAGAGTAAAGCCTTCAAATCAAATGCCCATAATGGGAATCTTACCAAAGCAGCGTGTTTCTCCTACTCCTCCATTTTTTACGACGGGCATAGACTATGCGGGTCCAATCTTGATTAAAACT